ACCCACCCCCGGAGGGCCCCGCCGGCGTCGGGCGGACGCGGAACGGGCCAGGGCGGGGCCGCGAGGCGAGGGGCTTCCCGGAGGAAGCGAGCGGCCCCGCTCCGCACCCCGGCTCCTCGCGCCTCCCCCCTGAGGTCCCTGAGAGGACCGGTGACGACTGTCCTCGCCCGGGAGCGCCTGCTCTCTGCCGGGTGCTGCTCTGGGCTCCGGAAGTTGCCAGAGAAGGGACCTGGGCCCTGTCGTGAGCTCAGAAAGGCCGAAGTGCCCATTGACTAGTGAGGGAAGGTGACTTAACCAGGGGCCTTCGCTCTCTGCTTAAGCGAACGCTGGTGGTGGCCCTTGAAACCGGTGTTCTTGGTGGTGACGTTCAGAGAATGCTAGTTGTTAAGAATCACGAGGACTCTCTATCCCTCCTGCGAGCTGCTTAATGCACATCTACAGAGGAAACCCCAGGTTTCTTCGAGGAACTAGAGGCTACTCTCTGGAATGTTCCTGCTGAGGCTGCAGTGCCCATCGATCAGTGGTTAAGATCTAGATCCTTGCAATTATGCAGGACCAGGTCTAAATACAGGCTGCACTACAGCCAGCTGTGTTGACTTTCTAAACCTCACTTTCCTCATCTATAAGATGGGGTTAGGGTTAGTATCCTCCTGAAAGAGTTTTGAGGATTAAATGCGAAAGCGAGTGGAAAGGGCCTAGCACCAGGGCGTGGTCTTTGCCTATTACCTACCAGACATTAAACTCTGTGAGGGCTGCTGTCGATCTGTTGTATCCCTAGTCGTGGACACACGGTAGATGTAAGATAACTTGAATCAGTCAATCAATGGCTGTTGTACAGCAAGGCACATGCTAGGTGCTGTCTTGGATACAGAAAAGAGAATTCCAAGACCCAGGAGCCTGTGATCTATTAGGGGAGGCAAGACTTTATATATAACTGAAAAATCAAAGCAATGCTAATCAAGTCATGAAGGCAATAAGGACTTCAAAGCCAGAGTGGTTAAGAAAGATCTGCATAGGGAAAAATAATGCACTCCATGAAGATTATTAAAGATGAGTACCTCTCTAAGAGAGGGAGCATTGCTTCAGCTCACCTTTCCCGCTCACACCACTACCGCCCAGCATCCCAGTTGTTCTGACCCTGTTTTTGTAAGTGAATCTATTTCCCCATGTTGGAAAAAGGACATTCTATAATTGTTCCTAACTGTGAAAACAGTTCTCACCACAATGAAAAGATCAAGAGAGTACTGAGTGCATTTAATCAAATGTGTGCTTTAAAACAAGTAAAAAAAATAAATAAATAAAAAATTGGAAAGTAGAGTTTACCTGTCTTGGGATGAGGTACCTCAGTGATGCAAAGTAGATACTGTTAAACCCTCATTGTAGACCCTGGTCACTTTAACATGTGGGACAGTCTTGGGAATTATAGAGAAATTAGAGTAAATGTCATTAGAACCTTTGTTCATTAGTGCAGGAAGGATTTCTTTTTTGCTCTAGTTCTTTTTTTTTTTTTTTTGTCTTTTTCGTGACCGGTAAGGTGATCACAACCCTTGGTGTGGTGTTGCCCGCACTGCGCTCAGCCAGTGAGCGCACCGGCCACTCCTATATAGGATCCGAACGCGCGGCGGGAGCGACGCTGCGCTCCCAGCGCTGCACCCTCCCGAGTGCGCCACGGGGCCGGCCCTTAGCTCTAGTTCTGATGTAAGCGGTTAACACTGAAAGTCCTGGAGTAACACCTTTTACTTACAGATGTATTTGGAATCATAATTTACTCATGCTCATGCCTTTACGTGTTTCAGGTCTACAGGTGCACCTTCAGGCTCAAGTGCTGCCATGGGCAGTAGTCGAAAACTTCAGCAGACACAAAATCAAGTAGATGAGGTATTGCTCTGAAATGTTGGAAACATGAGTTTTAAACAAGCTTGGGAGCACTGGAAATAATTCTATTTAGAAAAAGTATCAAAAAGTGTGAATGTAAATTTTGACTGTATCATAATTTTAATAAAATTTTACCACCTCCTGTTCTGGAAGGCCTGATCTAAGCAGAAGTCAGACTTTGCTGGTTCCATGCTCATTTTTCTGTGACCCAGTCACATACCTATAACATAAACACCCCATCCCTGAGAATATTCCCCAAGAACCACTTTATAAAATAGGGTAATAAAACTTTAAAGAGTAAGACTATAGATCGCTCAAGTCAGGAATAATCATTCTGATCAGATTTTTTATCAAAATATTTTGTCCTGTAGCTTGACTTATTAGTTACCCAACCTGAGCAAGCCTCTTTAGAAATCATCTCTGACCATTTCCCATTGACACACAGATGGCAGCTGCCAGCAAACTAACCCGACACATGTATATTTGTAGAATTCTTGAGCTAGAGGAGCTTCACAGCATCTTTTGTTCTGCCCTCTATTTGCAGAACCACCGCAGAAGATTGTTGGGGAAATTTAGACTAGTATTTTCATATTCCTAAAAGCTGTTACTCTCCAACAAAAATATCTTGGTCTTTCTGCATTTAGCTGCCTAAAAAGCAGAGTTAGAATTATGTTAGATACCATTGTTAAATCACATATTAATGTTTTGATCTGACAGTTTTGTTCATGAACTTAATTCTGAAAATTTTACATTTTCATAGTAAGAAACCCATTCTAATTCTGCCCTGCCTGAAACTTGTTTGCTTACAAAATCAAATTGGATCCTTTTTTTAACCAAAGGAATTGTAAAGAGAGTTGTTTCTTTTATTTTTTATTGAGGTAAAATTTATATAACATACAATTAACCATTTTAAAGTATACAATTTAGTGATATTTACTATATTCATAATATTGCACAACCATTACCTCTTTCTAGTTTCAAAACTTTTTCATTACCCCAGAAGAACACTCTGTACCAATTTAGTAATTCTCATCTCCCTTCCTCCCATTCCCTGGTAACCTCTAATCAGCTTCTGTTTCTATGGATTTGCCTGTTCTGGGTATATCATGGAAAAGAAATCATACGCCATGTGACCTTTTGTATCTGGTTTCTTTCACTTAGCATAATGTTTTTGATTTTCCTCCAAACCGTATCATGTATGAGTACCTTGCTCCTTTTTATGGCTGAGTGATAGTCCCTTGTATGTGTATACCACAGTGTGTTGATCTGTTCACCCATGAATGGATATTTGAGTTGTTTCCACCTTTCAGCTATTTTGAATAATGCTGCTATAAATACTCACATACAAGATTTTGTTCAGATGTATTTTTTCATTTTTCTTGAGTATATATACCTAGGAGCAGCATTGCTGGGTCATTTGGTAAGTCTGCCAAACTGTATTCCACAGTGGCTGTACTATTTTATACTCCCACCAGCAGTATCCAGGGATTCCTGTTTCTCTACAATCTCCCCCACACTTGTTTTCCATTTTTTGCTTGACAGCTATCCTGGTGGGTGCAAAGTGGTATCTCGTTGTGGTTTTGATTTGCATTTCTGTAATGATTAGTGGTGTTGAGCATCTTTTATGTGCTTGTTGGTCATTTGTGTATCCTCTTTGGAAAAATGTCTATTCAAGCCCTTTGCCCATTTTTCAGTTGGGTTGTCTTTTTGTTGTTGAGTTGTAAGCATTATTTATGTATTCTGGATATCAAACCTTTGTCTGACACGTGATTTGTTAAGTATTTTCTCCCATTTTATGGATTGTCATTTACATTCTTCATAATGTGCTTTGATGCACGTTTTTAATTTTTATGAAAGTCCAGTTTATCTGTTTTTTCTTTGTTGCTCTTGCTTTCAGTATCAAATCTATAAGAATCCATGGCCAAATCCAAAGTTATGAAGATTTACCCTTATGTTTTCTTCAGAGAGTTTTATAGTTTTAGCTCTTGTACTTATGGTCATTGATCAGTTTTGAGTTAATTTTTGTATATGGCATGAAATAGGGGTCCAACTTCATCCTTTCATGTGGCTATCCAGTTGTCGCAGCACTATTTGCTGAAGAGACCATTCTTTCCCCCACTGGGTGGTCTTGGCACCCTTGTCAAAAACAAATTGGCCATAGATATTTGGGTTGCTCTATGGACTCTCAATTCTATTCCATTGGTCTGCATGTCTGTTCTTATGCCAGTACCACATTGTTTTGATTAGTGTAGCTTTGTAGTAAGTTTTGGAGATTGGGAGATGTGAGCCCTCCAACTTTCCTTTTTCAATGTTGTTTTGGCTGTTCAGGCCCCTTGCAATTCCGTATGAATTTGGTGATTAGCTTTTCCATTTCTGAAAAAAAGCCATTGGGATTTTGATAGAGATTGATTGGATCTGAACATCACTTTGGGGAGTACTGCTATCTTAACAATAGTTAAGTCTTCCCGTGTATTTACATGGGATGTCTTCCCATTTAATTAGGTCTTTAATTTCATTCAGCAGTGTTCAGTGGTTTTCATTGTGCAAGTCTTTCATCTACCAGGTTAAATTTATTCCTACATATTTTATTTTTTTGAATGCTGTTGTAAAGACAATTGTTTTCTTAATTTTCTTCTCTGATTGTTCATTGCTCATGTATAGAAACACACCTGATTTATGTGTGTTCAATTTGTACCCCACAACTTTGTTGCATTTATTAGCTCTAGTCATTTTGTTTGTTTTTGGTGGATTCTTTGGAATTTTCTATATAGAGAAAATCATTTGCAAAGAGATAGTTTTACTCCTCCTTTCCAATTTGGATGCCTTTTCTTTTTCTTGACCAATTGCTCTGGCCAGAACTTCCAGTACCATGTTGAGCAGCAGTAGTGAAAGTGAGCATCTTGTCTTATTCCTGATGTTGGGGGGAAAGCTTTCAGTCTTTCAGCATTGAGTATAATATTAGTTGTGGGTTTCCCCATGAATGTCCTTTATTGTGTTAAGGAAATTCCTTTCTGTCCTTAGTTTGCTGAGTGATTTTATCATGAAAGGGTAGGCCCCCCCTTTTTATTTAATGAAAGTTTGGCTCAAAGTAATAAAATGCTGACCTGAAAAAAATGTGCCAGTACATTTTATTTGAGATTTTTGTTCTTCCATTCCTTTATGTGTAACTTACTGTGATCACATTCATTTAGGTGGTAGACATAATGAGAGTTAACGTGGATAAGGTGTTAGAAAGAGACCAGAAGCTCTCCGAGTTAGATGACCGTGCAGACGCGCTGCAGGCAGGAGCTTCTCAATTTGAAACAAGTGCCGCCAAGTTGAAGAGAAAATATTGGTGGAAGAATTGTAAGGTAACTCTCTTTTAACCAACCTTTCCATTAAGTCCCCCTCTCCATTCTCACGGGATCAACAGAGGCTACAAATATTGGACTTTCATGAATCTGGGAGGTGGGTTTGGCTTCCTACACATGGAAATTTGAGCCAACTGTGAATCTAAAACACTGAACATGTACCCTTTTCCATCCCCACAACTAGGAATCCTCCAAGTTCTGTGGCTGATCTTAAGAAGCACATAGAACAGGAATGTCCCAAATCAATCACAGACATTAGCCCCTTCCAACCTACCACTCCAGCAGAGCCCTGAACACTGATTGACAGGAGAGGGGTGAAATTAATGGTCAGTTGGTGTGTGGTTCTGTGAATAGCTCTAAGGTCAAGGGAAAGAGATGCTAGAAAGTCACAGTGTGCTTGACAGAAGAGTTCAAAGCAACCATGCAAGGAGCATGGCCCAAAGCACATTTTATACAGTTAGCAAATAAATGTGCTGTGATCAGATCCTTCCCTCTGCCTTGTTTAGAAATGACACCTTCAGTCACACGGGCAAGCTTAGTAGCCCCTTCCTTACATGGAAAACTTGTATATACAAACAAATGCCTATCTAGGGATCACAAATCATTTGAGCATCTTTTAAAAAGCTTAGGCCCTAATTAGAATATTAAGTTTAGGCTATAGAAATTATAATTTCAGGCTGGCTCATTAGCTCAATTGATTAGAGCATGGTCTTGGTAACACCAGGGTCAAGGGTTAGGATACCCATACTGGCTACCACCAAAAAAAGAAAAAAAATTAATTATAATTTATTCCAGATTATAGTACACACTTTCACTGACTTACATTATTATATGATACTCTTAAGTAAGCATGCTATGTCTATTTTTGACATGTGAAATGGACATATGTTTTGTTACAGATGTGGGCAATAGGGATTAGCGTTGTGGTTATCATCATCATCATCATCATTGGTGAGTTAACCTGTTCTAAACTCATTGGAGAAGTCTCATATGTTCACAGATGATTGCATGTATAAGAACTCAAAATAGGGCCGGCCCGGTGGCGCACTGGAGAGTGCGCCACTTGGGAGCGTGGCGGCGCTCCTGCCAAGGGTTCGGATCTCATGTGGAGACCGGTTCCCACTCACTGGCTAAGCGCAGTGCGGGCGCAGCACAGAGGGTTGCGATCCCGTTACCGGTCAGTAAAAAAAAAGACAAAAAGGAAAAAAAAAAAAAAAACTCAAAATAAAAGTTCCCTCAGAAATGGTAGTTTATTCCAAGAGTTTTAATTTTCTTTAGTAAATGTTTTAAACACTTGAGTTTTGTATGATTAAAGTCTGAGATTTTTTATATCAACATTAATCCTTTGAGGTTTGAGGTTAGAGAAAATTTATTCATTTCCACTGACTAATCAGTTTTTCTCTCTAAATATATTTTCATTATATATTTCCTTTTATGTAGTGTAGTGATTAAAAGTGTGGACCACCCAGGATCCATCTAGGCTCTGCTACTATCAAGCTGTGTTGCCTTTGGGCAAATAATTTAAAATCTCTGGACCTCAGTTTCCTCATCTGTAAAATGGGGATAATAATACTAATCTAACTTGTTTGTTTGTTATGAGGACAAAAGTGCTTAGGATGGTGCCTGGCATATAATAATAAAAATAATAGTTATTTAAATAAATTATACACACACACACATATCTATTACTGTTATTAACGTATAATATTGGAACAATTCATTGCCAGTTTTAGCCCAGTATATGGGAACTATTTAGAGAAACATATCTTACTTTCATTGATAGTTTGATGTTAGTGGTTGTTTCCTTTTGACAAGAACATCTGGTTACTTGGATCCTTCCTTTTGACACTAGTCTCCTTTAGCCCTCTATAGAATGTAGAGAAGCCACTAGTAAGGAATCAGCCAAACTGAATTTCGATTCACGTTTAGACGGCAGCCTTTGATGTTCATTCAGGATTTGCACAAGAGACTAAACTGCTGTTTTCCCTGTTTTTTTTGTATCTCCCCTGCATATTAGTATGGAATATGTCTCCATGAAGAACCAGTGAAACTCAAGCCTGCTATTCAAGAAGCCTCTTTAAGACTTTTGACTCAGAACCTGCTATATTATCAAGCTTACTTACTGTTCTATCTAAAATGATTATTTTTTTGTTAGTTAATGTAAAGTTCGATTTCTAGGAAATGTGCCTTTGTTTTTGAAAATGCACTCCAAACCAGAAGTGTGGCCAGCCCCGCCTACATTTTGCACAGTCCCTTTACAGATTTACAGAGGACTTCGTAAGTTGCAGAATGCTATAATCTAGATGTAAGGTCACTAATTAATTGCCATTGATTCTATTTAAGGGAATTTGTTCCACGTTAGCTCTCCTTGTCATATGGCTTTATCTTCAGAATCACAATTTAAACCTTTGTGTAATCAGATTTCCAACTTGTGCCTTCCAGAAAGAACACTACTGCCTAACACAAATCTGTGACAGGCTGTGCCTTATTTTGATATTTTCTAATTCCCTATAAGAGAACCCTTTACTTTTTGTAAGCACTACTGACCCTTTTGCTGTATTTAAAATAAGATGCTGGTAAAGAGTTTTAGCTCTTACATTAGATATGAAGATGTTTACTTTCTTTTTATTGTTATGTACTTGCTAAAAATATTATTTTAATCAGAAATAATCCTTTAAAATGTTTTTATAGAACTGTGGGCTATGACCAAAGTTTCTATTTTGCCAAAAAGTTAAATACACATAAAATGTCCTTACATCTATTCCTGACATATATTCAGAAAAGTGCCAAATGGAACTCAAAGTGCCCTTCAGAAGTACAGTTGTAATATTGTGTGTGATCCTGACAGGCCTTTCTTGCCTTTGAAATGCTATAGATGGTGTGACTCCCCTTCTGATTCAGAGTTTTCATGGGGGTTGAGCCAGACTCTGATCATCTCATACCTATAGAAAAGAAGTTTCACCCAGCAGTTTGCAGATTATCAGCAATGGACTCCAGTATGTTTCTAATAATTATGTGAACAACAATTTTATAGCCTTCAGATAAGACCATCTGTGAACCTGATCATTATCTGGCCCAGTTCTTACAGACTGTAGGTTTTTGGAGTTTGTCTCCTATGTATATTCATATTCCACTTTCTTAATCAGTCTTCTAAATTATGCTTGCAATTAGGCATTGCTCACGGGGGGGATGACTCTTTTCACAGAGGATAGCTAACCAGAGACACCTTCTTTCTTCAATGTCATAAACTGTTCAGGATGCTGCTTTGGAAATAGCTGTTGTCATCTGAGAGACTTGTGTATGTGAAACTTTGACCATCAGGGTGTGTGGCTGAAGACAGGAGTTCAGGTATGAATGAAAACAAGCAAGGACGCACTGAGGGACAAACAGGCTCTATGGCCCATTGTTACTAGAATGTTCTAAAATTCTTGTTCACATGCTAGTATGACATACAAAGCAACACAGCTGAGGTGCACCAGGACACGGGTTCCATTTCTTTAATATTGTTCCCCTAACATCACTGAAATGATTTAATGTTGAAAACATGCCTTGCAATATGGGCAACTGTAAGAAGAAAGCAGCTGTCAGTGTTGGGACATTAGCCCACTCTCAGCACAGGGTCTCTGGCCAGTTCTGACTCTGCAACTTTGGTGCTCTCTCCTTGGCCCCAATGCTCAGTCCCATGTAACCCACTGGCTCCTGCATTAACCCAGGAATACCTCGCTTGTATCTGTGCATTTAGCTGGGAACTTTCCCACTAAAATGACCCAAATAAAGTGTTTATAAACATGATTCTGGCACCTGTGTTCCTTATCGAAAAATAGCTGCGCCTGGTCAGAATCCTAAAAATGGCATTCCTTGCTTCTCCCCCTCTCCCTTATAAACCCCCAAACTACACTTTCTCCTCTTTCTCACCAATGCTCTCCCATCATATTCTGTTTTCTGGTACCCAGCGTCCGTTCCCAAGTGAGTAGAAGCAAACCACTACTCTGTGAAAAGTGCTTTTCAGTATAAGAGATGAGTGGGGAATTGGCTTTCACATGATTAGCAAAATGTTCGGGATTTGGCTTTTCAGTTTCCTAAGCATATGGTCTTTCGAAAGTGGTTTACAGAGCTAACCGCGTACATGGCAGACTAGGTAGCTGCCTGCGGGAGGCATGTGATAGATAAATTTGGATGGGTGAAGGACTTCTTTAAACATATGGCTCCTATTTTCATTCGCTGTGTCATCTCACCCCTTGAATACACCCCAAGGAAACAATATAATATGGGTGGAAGTAGACTTTTGCTTATGTTTACCATACGTAATTTCAAATCCCTTTCCCTAACTACAAACCCCACCACGATCTGGCCCTTCCTACCTTTCTGACCTCCTCTCACACCAGGCAAAGTGTTCTGCCTTTCCCCTTCTCAGCAACAAACTCGCCGGCTTCAGGGCCTCTGCAGTGCACTTCCCGCCTCCTCTGCACTCAGGTTGCCGCTCTTGCTTTCTACACAGCGCTCCACTCATCAGCGATTAGTTCATGGAGTCGTTCCTACGTATTATCTCAGTGAAATGGAAACTCCCCGAGTGGCAGGGACTTGCGTCCACTGTTCTATCCCCGGGAACTGCAATCATCCCTGTCCGGATGTGCACGCAGCAAGTATTTGCAAGACACTTTCGGAGGAGAGAGATCCCATCGAGAGTGTCACGTGGAAAACTAAAGTGGATTCTCCCGTCCATGACAGGGACAATCGCCCACTTCACTCTCCCCTCCCCGTTTATGTACAACGCCTTTCCTTCGTCCACAAACACTGGGTATTTTCGGTGTAGCAGGGAGCAGGAGCTCTGCATGCCCCTTCCCTTGCGGATGACCGGAGATCCGACCTGAGACACGGTGTCTTCTGCATACACTTGTCTTCCTCCAGTTGCAAAATGAATCCTTAACTTCGGGAAGACCGGGGAAGTGTTTAAGTTCCACCGTCCATACTTCCTTTCTGGGCATCGGGCTGGGTTTACCCGGGCGCTACACGGCCCGGCTCCTGCGGGTCCCCCGCACTCAGCTACAGAGTCGGCGGGAAAGAGAGCAAGAAGGCTGGGCGAGACCAGGACGCCTGCCCGCTCCTCCCCGACTCCGCTGGAGCAGCCGGGAGCCTCCCGCAACCACCCCGGGGGCGCACCCCCTAGCCTCCGCCCCTGCCCGCCTCACGTGGAGGCTGCTCCGGCCCGGCCCGCCCCCTCATGACAGACAGCTCCAGCGCCCTACCGCTGCCGCGCTAGCTCCAGCGGCCCCTCCCTGGCGCCGTGCAGGGTGCTGGGCACTGGACTCCTAGGACCGAGGCTCTAGCCTCCCCAGTGCCCCCCC